CCCGCAGGGCTCGTCACAGCCTCCTCCCTCCCTGCTGTCCCCATGGAACCCAGGAGTCCTGGCTCCCACCCCAGCCCCCACTCCCCTCCCAGAGCCGGGAGAGAACCCAGGAGTCCTGGCTCCCAGCCCCCCTGCTCTAACCCACCAGCCCCCACTCCCCTCCTAGAGCTGGGAGAAAACCCAGGAGTCCTGGTTCCCAGCCCCCACAGCTCTAACCCACCAGCCCCCCTCCCTTCCCAGAGCCAGGGAGAGAACCCAGGAGTCCTGGCTCCCAGCCCCCCCTGCTCTAACCACCAGCCCCCACTCCCCTCCCAGAGCCGGGGAGAGAACCAGAAGTCCGGGTACCCCCCCCACCCCGCTCTAAGTCACTGGACCCCGTTCCCCTGCCAATGCTGGGGAAAGAACCCAGGCGTCCGGTTACCTGAGGATGTTCCGCATGAGCAGTTTGAAGGCATTCTTGGCAGAGGTGCAGAAGTTCTTCCCATAGATCGCAATCTGGGGGGGTGACGGGGACACCCCCATAACGGGGGGAGAGACACATTCCAACTCCGCTCCCCCAAACCCACCCCGAGACCCCTCACCCCTGCTCCCACCCCCAGGATCCCCCAAACTTGCCCCTTTCCAAGAACTCCTGGCTCCCCCGGAACCCCCTCAAACCACCCCAGGGTCCCCCCTGGTAGGACAGGCAGCTCTCCCCTTTCACCCCACAGCATAGGACCCCCCAAACTCTTCCCGACAGAAATAGCCCCTCCAACAGCCCAGGGACCCCACCCACACCCCTCCCCCAAAGCCCCACATCCAGGAGTGCCCCCCCCCGAGACTCCCCCCAGCAACCACCCCACACACACCAAGAAGCCCCTGTGCAAAGGGATCTCCCCACACCCCGGTGAGAGGGCCCATCTCCCATACCCCAATGATCCCCCACCGGGTTCCCCTATGCCCCCACCCCCATGACCCCCCATCCCCCCACACCTCATAACCCTATATCCCCCCCCAGGGCCCATCCTCCCCCCCCGTGACCCCCCAGGGCCCATCCTCCCCCCTGTGACCCCCCAGGGCCCATCCTCTCCCCCGCGACCCCCGCACTCCCCACCATGATGTAGGCGTTCCTGTTGAGGAATTTGATGAATTTCTCCAGGCACCAGAAGCAGCACTTGAGACAGCAAAGCAGGCAGCGTGTGAAGGGGTTCTGGGCTCCTAGGGGGGCGGGAGCCAATCAGACACCCCCGTGCACCCCCAAACCCCCCGCCCTCTGCCAGAGCCCCCCTCCACGTCCCCAGACCCCCCACCCCCTGCCAGAGCCCCCCCCGCCAGAGCCCCCCTCCCCGTCCCCAAACACCCCCGCCCTCTGCCAGAGCCCCCCTCCACGTCCCCAAACACCCCCAGCCCCCTGCCAGAGCCCCCCACGGGGGGAGAGCCACCCTCCACGTCCCCAAACCCCCAAAGGTCTCCGGGGCTGGGGGAAGGCCAGGATTTGGGGGAACAAGGCCAAGGGGATTCCTGAACCCCAATGTCTTGTATTTGGGGGTGCAAGGGCATAGCTGAATGCTAAAATGTATTGGGAGACTGGGGGACACATCCCAGGACCCTAAAATGCTTAGGGGTCAGTGTGCAAAATATTTGGGTGTATCCCTGGAGAGCTCACGGTTTGGGGGGGCCCATTGGGGGGAGTGCTGAATGTTGGGGGTGAGGATCCCAGTTCGGAGGCACAGCTCCATTTGGGGGAGGGGCAATCCTGGGACAAACCAGTGCAAAATCGGGGGGGTCTCAATATTTTGGGGGTGAAGATTTCCACAGTGTCACATGTTGGGGAGAAAGCAGAAATTTGGGGTGCAGGTTGTGTGGAGCAGGGACAAATGTTGGGGTGCTCAAAGACATGTGGAGGGCTCGGGGGGTCACATTCTGCTAGACCCCAAAATGCAGCTGTGGGGCAGCCGGGGATCTTGGGGCAAGGGTGAAGGAGGGGGGCTGGGAAATGGGGGGGCAGGAGCAGGGGTGACTCCCCCCAGGAGGGCCCCCACCTTTGAGTTTGTGGTCCAGGTATTCCAGGAGGATGCGTATCAGCTGGACGATGGTGAGGATGAGGGCCCCGAAAGCCAGCGACCCCGTGTGGTACCTGCAGGGAGAGGCCCCCGGCATGGGGGGGACCCCAGTTAGCGTGGCAGACAGAATGGTAGAGAGAACCCAGGAGTCCTAGTGTCCAGCCCCTCCCCTCCCAGAGCCGGGGAGAGAACCCAGGAGTCCTGGCTCCCAGCTCCGCCCCCCTCAGAAGATACAGGCAACTTCTTACACGTCTCGTTTGCATAGATAATGAATATGCACGATGTAATTTACATAACCCAGCCCCTAACCCATAACCCAACCCAGCATACCGCTCCGCCCCTTGAAGGGTAAAGCCCCAGGTGAGACCCCTGAAATCAGACACCTCCTAGTTAAGCCTGGTTAGGGGGAGGGAGCCCAGATGTCTGGCTCCCCTCATTTGCATAGGCAATGAATCAAACTCATTTGCATAATCCCTTTCCTCAGAAGCCCAGCTGGGGGACCCAGGTGTCCGGCTCACTGCAGCAGGGACCCAGCAAGGGGATGGGGGACCCGGTGGGGGGCAGGTCGGGGGACTCAGGTGTCTGGCTCATGGCAGCGTGGAGCCAGTGGGGGGATATGGGACAGGTCGGGGGGGTCCAGGCAGCCGGCTCCCTGCAGCGTGGGCCCAGCAGGAGGGATGGGGGCCCAGCAAGGGGATGGGGGGGACCCAGGCGTAGGCTCCCTGCAGCGTGGGCCCAGCGAGGGGGATGAGGGGACCCAGCAGGAGGGATGGAAGGACCCAGGCATCCGACTCCCTGCAGCGTGGGCCCAGCAGGAGGGAGGGGGGCCCAGCGAGGGGAATGGGGGGCCCAGCAGGTGGGACGGGGGGCCCAGCGGGGGAATGGGGGGCCCAGCA